CTTTTATTGATAATTAGTCCCATTAAATCTTCCATATTTTTAAATTAGTCCCTCAAATCATTAAAATTGCTATTATGCCCCTTAGTTCTTAAGTTATTTTGAAATTAATCCCTCCCATCAAGAGTAAAAGTACCCGTTCGAAGGAAATTGGTGCCTCAAATCATCAAAATTTTCATTAGATTATTAATTCTCGTAACTTGTTTCCAATGATCATTCAGAGATTGAATAAATTTAATTGCAAATGATTGCCACCTCTCCACTTGAGAAATATAAAATCCCTTTTCCTTTCACAAAAGGTACAAGCTATCTACAAGTTGTTGCATTTGATATTAAAGTGCATATCCTGTCACAAGGAAGAAGAAACACAAAGTTGTTATTATCTTACGCAGGCACTGGAACTCAAAACAGTAGCAGTGGTTCAACTTTCTCTGGATATGTCGAAGGCTTCAGCCCTGTGAAGTCTGTAGGATCAATGCCAGCCTCATATATCGTAATCCCTTCACCAAATATGCGCTCTCTATCTCCAACACCCTTGCAACTTCCCACTTGCCTCACCTCTGAATCTCCACCCCTTGCACATCTTTTACACAGCAAAGGCTCTGCAATTCCTCTCTCAACAGGATACATCGTGTCAAAAGCAGTCCCTACCATGAGAAAAGATCCTGCTGAGCCAGTGAAAGATGATTGGCCTTCTGTTCTTTCTGTCACCCTCATTGATCACTATGGGGGTAACAACAGTAGCAGTAGCAGTAACAGTAGTATACAAGACAAAGTTGGTCGAGGTGGCAGTAAACAAGGAAGGGGTGTTAGTATAGGGCCTGAGGCCATAAGCAATAGAGATTATGAATTGGAGACTCATTTGGTTTTGCAGTCAGTGGCTGCTGAGCTTCAAGCTCTTTCATGGATGACAGTAAGTCCAGTGTATTTGGAGAGACGAAGTGCTTTGCCTTTTCATTGTGATATGATTCTAAGACTTCGAAGACTTCTGCATTATGCGGATAAAGAGTTGTCGAGACCTCCAGATAGAGCACAAGGGGTCTCCTGAACTGTAAGGCGTTAGCTCTTAAACCTGAGATTGATATGTTTGTATTTTTTTGTAAGCTAGTTTCGGTTTTTCTCTTTTTAACACCAAGATGTCAAGCAGGCTGTTGTTTGTGGCTGCGGCATATGTAGGTAATATCATATAACATTGTAATTACAATTTTGTTATTCAATTTAATGGGTAGTTTCCCCCCCTTTTGGATGTCAAGCACGTGCTCTTCTACTTATTATTATTATTATTTCCCCTCGTCTGGTGAATAGTTTTGTAATTTTTCTATTCATGCTAATGGTGTGATAATTGGGTTTAGCGATAATCTTGACTGAGAAATGGGGTGACTAATTATTCTCTGTTTTACCATCACGGGTAAGAGTGCAATCCGTATTGGGCAAAAATATTATGTGATATATCAGACTTGTGATGGTCTTCCTTTCTTCTGTAATATTTATTTTGTTTGATACCAACTCCTGATCATGTAGTTTCATAATTCCAGCTTCTCCTTTCAAAATTTTGAAACTTCATTTCCCTTGGAGCCCCACTCGATCTTACAATTGGATTACTGTTTCAGAATTCTGACTGTTTGTGCAAGTGATCACTGTGATACTTGTTGATGACGGAAATTTAACTTGTTTGCTGTTGTAGATTGAGGCTCATGATTATTTTGAAGGAGCTTGCTGTAGTTTTTACTATACATAACATCTAGCACGAACTTACAAGTGCAATTTTTTTATTTATTTATCGTTGAGCGTTTCATAGTAGATAATTAACTGTCATACGAAACGAGGATTAGATACCGTGATCCCAAAGCAGACATATGATCGGGGAACGGAAACAAAATTTTTGGTCAATAGCTCTGTCAAATCTTCTAGCTTGCTTGTAGATGAAAAGTTTTACAGGCTACCAAGACCTCCACTTTCTCATCTCGGTTCATAGACAAGTGTTAAATGCAATGCAGGAAGTTGTGAGTACTGCAGACGACTCACTAATAGCTTTGCATACGCCCCCTGCACCACAGGAAGTTAGCCAGTTATTATTTCTAAACTTTGTCGGTATTTGGACTCGACGATGTCCAACTCAAGTTATACGTAACATACTTCAGTGATGTATGTCCAACATAAGTTATACGTATGCTATAGTGCCGAATGTTCTGCACTTACAAGAGTAGGGATCTCTACATAACATGCTAACGTCAAAGGGCAGCCGCAAGACGGGTACACATAACGTAGGTACATCAGCTTGGAGATCAGAAGGACTAGATGCTAAATTGAAGTTTCTTTTAGGATAGTAGATGCTCAACCTCTCCTGTAGCACGAGAGGCATATATGCGATTAACCCGAAAAAAGAACGACAGAGGATCGATTACTTTGAAGGTCCAGGACCAGAAATCTGCAGCGTTCACATCAGTGAGTTCTTTTGCAATTCAAGTGACTCTTTGTTCAGGTAACCGGAGCTGATGTATTCCTAATTCCTACTATCAGGAAATACACCACCAGTATTAAGAAGATTTTCCTTTAAATAATATAATAAAAGCAATCTCTTTGTTCCCAAAAGTCATTACCTGAAATTCAAATGTCAAATCACCCAAATCATAACACTGTTAAAATGCATCTGGGTTGTCTTGGAGGGGAAAGACATTTGTAACCCCAAAATTTCTGAAACATCGATCAAGCGTGCAGTATGAACAACTCCTGAAACCATATGTTACATTTATTATCCAAGAAAGTTTGAACTCAAACACACAACACAGTTAACAACAGTTTCTGTTTATACAAGGAGAAAAATGTTTAGTGCTGTAAATATCATGGTCACAGTTATCGTCGCAATAATTGGCGTGCTGCTTTGACCTTCAGGAGAACGTGATGTCCACGGAGAACGTGATGCCCAACTATCCGGCAACTGCCGAATTGCTGGGGTTTGTTATAAATACTCAAACGTTTCTAGGGTTTGTACTACATCAAAAAAAGAGCTTTTTGACTGCAAAGTGAGAGAGAATCTCAGAGAGATTTACCCCTTGTTTGAGAGCTTGTATTTTTTCTTCTTCAATTAATAGAAAGATTGTGTGGTGTGGCTCCCGAGGACGTAGGCACGTTGCCGAACCTCGTTAAATCTGTGTGTTCGTCTCTTTTACTGTTTTTACAAGGTTAGATCTTTATTTGTGGTTTATTCCTACTTTCCTACTTTCAACACAAGGTCCGGAAGGGCAAGGGTTCGATTGATTGTTTCGAATCCCCAACAACTGGTATCAGAGCTTCGTTCAGCAATTTGTGTGAAAGCCATGGCAGAGGAAAGCAAATCAAAGATTGAGAAGTTCGACGGATCGGATTTCGCCTACTGGAAGTCGCAGATGGAGGACTATCTGTACCAGAAGGACTTGTATCGCCCGCTTCTGGGCAAGGAAAAGGGAAAGAAGACGACGGAGTCAGATGGTGATCGGGAGGTACTGGATAGGAAGGCTCTAGGGCAAATCCGGTTGTCGCTCGCCAAATCAGTAGCCCACAATATTCTGAAGGAGAAGACGACGGTGGGGCTTATGGAAGCGCTCGCGAAGATGTACGAGCAACCGTCGGCAGCAAACAAGGTGCATCTAGTCAAAACTCTTTTCAACCTCAAGATGGCAGAAGGACGGTCCTTCACGATGCACCTCAGCGAGTTCAACACGATAGTTGATCAACTTATCTCCGTGGACATCACGTTCGATGACGAAGTGCAGGCCCTTCTACTACTGTCGGAATAGGAATCGGTCGAAATCAGAATAGGAATCGGTCGAAATCAGAATAGGAATCGGTCGAAATCAGAATAGGAATCGGTCGAAATCAGAATAGGAATCGGTCGAAATCAGAATAGGAATCGGTCGAAATCAGAATAGGAATCGGTCGAAATCAGAATAGGAATCGGTCGAAATCAGAATAGGAATCGGTCGAAATCAGTGAAGAAGAGGCCGAACTCGAAGGTTAGGTCTATCAAAGGGAAGTGTTGGAACTGCGGCCAGGAGGGCCATATGTCTTCGGTCTGTAAAGCACCAAAGAAGGATGCGGGTGAGCAGGAGGCTCATATCGTGCAGGATGCCTTGATCCTTGCTATGGATAGCGATTCTGATTCTTGGGTCATCGACTCAGGAGCCTCTTTCCACGCCACTGCTAATAGGAGACTACTTCAGAACTATGTAGCAGGGGACTTTGGTAAAGTATACTTGGGGGACAATGAACCTTGCAATATTGTTGGAAAGGGCGACGTTCAGATACAGATAAAGGGCTCTAAGTGGAACTTGAAGAACGTGAGACACGTGCCGAAGCTGAAGAGGAATCTTGTTTCGGTGGGACAGCTTGGAGCAGAAGGCTACGTTTCGACATTCACCGGGGATTCGTGGAGAATCTCCAACGGTACGATGATTGTTGCCCGAGGCAATAAAACGGGAACTCTCTACCTCACTTCACATGCGAGTGACACCCTCGCAATTGCAGCTGGCAAGGAGAGTACAGATCTGTGGCACAATAGGCTGGGGCACATGAGCGAGAAGGGGATGAAAATTCTACATTCACAAGGAAAGCTAACCGGGATCGACACCGTGGAAGTCGGGGTTTGTGAAGACTGCATCTTTGGGAAGCAAAAAAGGGTTAGTTTCCAGAAGGGTGGAAGGCCACCTAAGGCTCAGAAGCTAGAGTTGATTCATACAGATGTATGGGGCCCAGCCAGTGTGTCTTCTTTTGGCGGTTCGAGATACTACGTCACCTTCATCGATGATCACTCGAGGAAGGTGTGGGTTTACTTCATGAAGCACAAGTCAGAGGTGTTCGAGATCTTCAAGAAGTGGAAGGCCATGGTCGAGAACGAGACAGATCTGAAGGTGAAGTGCTTGAGATCAGATAATGGTGGAGAATACGAGCTGGAGGAGTTCAAGAGGTTCTGTGCTACGAATGGGATTCGCTTAGAGAGGACTACTCCAGGGACGCCGCAGCAGAACGGCATTGCAGAGAGGATGAACAGGACCTTGACAGAGCGTGCGCGGAGCATGCGATTACATGCAGGTCTGCCTAAGACATTTTGGGCGGATGCGGTACATACAGCAGCTTACCTTATTAATCACGGGCCATCAGTTCCATTAGATTTTGGGATTCCAGAGGAGGTTTGGAGTGGAAAGAAGATAAATCTCTCACACTTGCGGGTATTTGGCTGCGTGGCTTATGTTCATATCAGTGATCATGTCAGGGACAAGCTAGAAGCTAAGTCACAGAAGTGCACATTCATTGGATATGGCATTGATGAGTTCGAGTATCGTCTTTGGGATGAGAAGAACAGGAAGATCATCAGGAGCCGGGATGTGATATTCAATGAGGAGGTGATGTACAAGGACAGGGATAATGCCAAAGATAGCCAAAGCAGTGGGAGCAGCACTACGGATACAGGTGGATCCGAGTACATGGACTTGGAGGAACTTCCAGATGGGGGCAACAATGTCTAGAACAGAGGAGACTACAGGTGCAGAAGCTACTACCCAGGGCGTGGAGCCTAGGAGGTCATCTAGGGTACCCAAACCAAATCCCAAATACCTCTCGTCACTTGATTATCTACTCTTAACAGATAGCGGAGAGCCGGAGTGTTATGAAGAGGCAGTGCAAGTGAGTGAATCTCAGCAGTGGGAGCATGTGATGCAGGAGGAGATGGATTCTCTACTCACTAATGAGACATGGGAGTTAGCCCAGCTACCTGCACAGAAGAAAGCCTTGCACAATAAATGGGTCTACCGGGTCAAGCAGGAGAGTGATGGAAGCAAGAGATTCAAGGCCAGATTAGTAGTGAAAGGGTTTCAACAGCGGGAAGGAGTGGACTACACGGAGATATTTTCCCCTGTTGTGAAACTCACAACCATCAGAGTGGTGTTGAGTTTGGTAGCTGCAGAAGACCTCTTCCTTGAGCAGTTAGATGTGAAGACTGCCTTTCTTCATGGTGACTTGGATGAAGAAATCTACATGAAGCAGCCTGTTGGCTTCATTGAAGAAGGAAAGGAAGAGATGGTGTGCAAGCTCAAGAAGAGCTTATATGGTTTGAAACAGGCTCCGAGACAGTGGTATAAGAAGTTTGATAACTTCATGCAGAACAATGGCTACAGAAGATGCAATTCGGATCATTGCTGTTATTTCAAAAGGTTCGAGTCCAGCTTCATTATTTTGTTATTATATGTTGATGACATGTTGGTAGCAGGACCGTGTTTA